TTGACTTCACATTTTACATAATCCGTGAGCTTCGCGGATTATTCAGTGTGACGAGTCAAAAATTAATGTTATGGTTCAATAAATTCAAAATAAATAATAACCATTCATTAATTGCGATTTTGTAATTTTAGACTAAAATGTGATTTTAATTTTTGCGATATTTTAAAAAAAATCCTGTTTAATTCATATAAAAAATTTCAAAATGCTAGTTTAAATTATTGCCAATACAACCATATTGCATTTTTCGCAATAATAAAAACATTGCAAAAGTTTCTGAATTTACAGTAATTGAGTTAGTATTATTACCAACATAAGTATTGGGGTTGTCTACGCTGTTATGAAAATGGTTTTAATGCTGCGTTCACACGTAATTCGAATTCGATTCGCATTAACTAATTCGAATTAGTTTAATTCGCATTTGAAACGTTTGACGTCCAAACGTAAATTCTAATTCGAATTGCAATGCGCGTCAAATTCGCTTTACTGTCCTAACGACGTTAACTTATAATTCGTATTAACAAAAATGCATTTCTAATGCGAATTGGATAATGCGATTTAGCCAATTCGAATCAATTCGAATTAAAAAAGAAGAGTGTGAATGCGACTAGGGAGCTACCATTTGATTTTTATGGGGGCTAGGATGAAAAATGTTGTCCTGCCTATTTATTTTTCCCTCTATTCGGTCCTGATTTTTTATTTTTCACTCTATTCGGTCCTGCCTTCGTTTTTTTTTAGTTTATCCTGACTTTTTTTTACATGAATTGTCATCCTGCCTTTTTTTTTTGCAAATAATCTCATCCTGCCTTTTTTTTTTACTCAAAACTCCTGTCCTGCTTATTTTTTTCAAATTTCATCCTAGCCCCCCCCCCCCCCCCCCCCCCCCCCCCCATAAAAATCAAATGGTAGCTCCCTTAGCGAATTTCGATTCGCATTCGATTCAAATTCAATTCGAATTAAATGTACGTGTGAACGAGGCATAAGAACCATCAAAAGAGAACAAACCCATCCGATTTTGTAATTGAATATTCCAAAATCATTGTCTTATACATATACGTGCACTTGCACAAGGTCAATTTCTATCTCTAGCAGTTTAAAGTTTATATATTTAAGATGATAATGTATAACAGGTTTTAATAAATGAAACATAGCATTATTTTGTTAGTCTTCTTAGAGACAAATTGATCTGTAAAACAAGTAAAAAAAACATTATTTTTTTTATATTTAGGTTGTTATAATGATGATGTTTTCATGGTGTTGGGAGTAAGACTTGGATGTCTGATATTGTTAACATGTTGGTAGGTTATCAAGCATCTTTTTAGTAATATAATATTTGAAATCAATTTCATAAGGTTCTTTAGTAGCAAAAAAATAATTTTACACTGATGAGATACCGGTTGAATTTTTTTGGTAAATATAAAACTCAGTTTATAATTCAGAATACCAAATATTTTTTCCATGATTTTTTGTTATCCTAGTGCAATTTTAAATTTAGTACATGTGTAATAATTTTTTTTAGGAAAGTTTAGTATAACTGACTACTTTTATATTCCAGGTTAACATCAGGTTTCCATTGGGTTACTTGCTGGGATAAAGCTGTTATAAGGTGAGAACTTATTCATCAACATACAACTTTAATGTGTTTATGTTATAGTGTGATGAATGTCACTAAATAGATTTCAATATATATTTTTTTTTTTAATTTACAATTAAAAAAAATCAGTATTCAATCTTTTCAATTTAAAATAATGTACCCTTTAAAGCAGATACTAAATCTGAAGAAGATATATGAAGGGGAGATAACAATAAAATCAGATATTTTTAATACTATATAGTTTTGAGTAATCAATATAAGTAATAAACAAATTGTTTAACATACACTGATGTCTGTTTCTTTATTCCCATTAGATTATTTTAAAATTAAGAATCAAAAATTGAAATTTAACTTTGTTTCTTTTTCAGTCGAAAGAGTTGCTGTTGCTGCCTTCCTTGTATGGTAAAATCCTCAGACTACAATCCTGCAAACCATTGGATGAACTGACTTACTGTTGCTATCTTTTGTAAAAAAATCAGCAGATATTTGTCTTATAAGCAGAATGAATTATAAATGCAATTAATTTTTAATGCTTTATTATTCGAATTATAAATATTTATTTTTTTATTTTTTCTTGCATTCAATTATTGTTTTGTGATTGAAGAAATATAAAAAAAAAAACTGTGAAATTATTGTTATTTGAGAGGTCCCAAAGGTATGATGTATGGTTTCACAAGATATATACCCATAAGACTTGCTTCAGTTTACATATATTTTTTGAGTTATGTACACTGGTTAAGAATTATAAGTCCTTTGTGAAATGATTTTTTCTGGTTAGAAACCTATTAAGTAGGACTTCGATGGCCAAACACTAAAAGGGAATAAAACAAATCCCCTATTAAACAATTTAAGTACTGAGTTTTTGGTGAAATATTAACTAGAAATAAAAATTTTTAGTTAGATGGTTTGTTTCGACTCTGCATTCTTTACATTCATACAAATTAATGGCTGTCAGTTTTATTTATTAGTTTTGTTTATATATTATAAATGCATTATTCAGCATCTGAGACCACTCAAGTGAAAATAATTACATACTTTTTGCAGTTTGTCATATTTTCTCATTTTTGTGTGATTGATTTCTATATTTTTTCTCATTTATGATTATTTATTTTTTAATGTTTAATTTTTGAGGCTTGTACTCAGCTAAACAATTACCTCCCCCTTCCACATGTATAACCAGGATCCTGTAAAAGAAGTTTTGATTTTGAAGGATGGATGGATAATTAAAAATGCAAGATTTTTTTAATGTGCTCAGTTCATAATGTAAAAGTCTGCACAAGACATCTAACCCTACCTGAACACATTATTCTGACTTCCAGCTGACCAGTCTTTGCTCCTACTCCTAATTGCTGAATTCTTAGCAGGGGAGCATCAACTACCAATTTTCAATTCTTTGATATGACCCAGGGCAGGACCAAATCCCATGCCCATCTGCACTCATGTTGAGCATAAAAAGGTTATTAAAGATTTGTCTGTCTGTTTGTCCATCATCATCTCTCATCCACAGCTTATAAACTAGGTTTTCATTTAAACTTTCAGATTATCTTCTGTATCTAATGGCTGTGTGGATTATATTTTATTATAATGAAATTTTGGGGTTCTCAATTGTAATGAATGGACCTATTTGAAAAAAAAGGGAAAGAAGCTTCTCATACCACAATTTTATCATGTGAAGGATAGGTTGGTTCAAATATATTTGTTTTTAATCATGTTTTTAGGAGTTGGATCTCATTATGACAAAATTTTAATGACTTAAATTCAAAATAAATTTGGGGTTCACACTGATATATATTACCACTGTAGCTTTAATGTAAATTTTATAAGGCTTTGCTATAACAAGATTTGTGTTTTATCTGGTTTTATCTGATTTTAGTGGTTTTTATGTGATTTTATTTGTTTTTACTGTCAAATCTTGTTATACCAAGCCTTAGTATGATTGAGTTTATATATTTTGATTATACATGCAATTCAAAATTTAAATTTACATAATGAGATCAGACATTTATTATGCTTTTAACTCTTCTTAGTGGATAAAATAGAAAAATGAATGAACATAAATATTGAAGTGGTCGTTGAAGATTGACCAAATTACTAGATTTATAAATGCAGAAGATTGCTCTAACTAAATCTATGTTCTTATCAGCTGAACCAACCTATCCTTCAATATGAGTAATAAAATTTTATAAATGGAAAAGTCCATTCTTCGATTGGGGAACCTTCGTTTGGATATGAAAAAAATATACACAATGCCAACAGATACTGAAGATTATTTGAAAGTTTAGGCAAAAACAATTCAATCCTTTAATTGTGATTGGAATTTGTAGACGGATCAGCAAACAGATGATATACTTGCTTACTATGGCACATAGGATATGGACTATGGGTATGGGTTTTGCTCATGGTTGAAGGCTGTAGGTGACTGATAGTTGTTAAATTCTATGTCATTTGGTCTCTGATAGAGAGTTGTCTCATTGGCAATCATATCTCCTCTTTTTATTTTATATGAAATAATTACTTATTACTTCCTGGGCAAAAAGTTCTAGTTTCAAGAAAATAATAAAAAAAAATATTTATATCATACATGTATTGTTAAATAACTATCCTACTTTGATAAAAACATTGACTTTGGATAGAAATTGGGAGGAATTATAAAGAAACTTTATATACAATATAAGAGCTTGGGGTTATAAATGTTTAATGAAATGCAGTTAACTATTTCCTTGGTGATCTAATAATTTTTGCACAGATCATGATATTAGTTTATTTAAATAACCCAGTAAATAAATTGAGTACACCTCATAAATGAATTTGATTCATGTATTTTTATGCATTTTTTATCTTAGTATTTACCATTGTATTCCTTGTTATAATTGTAAATGCCTCTTCGTATGTGACAAACTGAGGATTCATATATTTTATGGAATTATATAAATTCATTTTAAGTTTGGTATTTAAAAGTATTGGAAAGCACCAAGTTTAATATTGAGCAAAAAAAATATTCCTTTAAGACCTAAGGATATTAAAATTTAAGACATGTATCTCAGAACAGAATTGATTTTCTAAATTCTATTTAAACAGCTAGTCTGGGAACTGGTATCAAGAAACTAAAAAGAATCCTCAGCTCTGTCAGTTATTTTGTATAATTGTAATATTTAACCAATGACACCTTACCCATGATGCAGATACTTTTCCTCCTTTTACTTATAAAGGAACTAAAAACTTATTATTATTACAATTTCTTTGGTATTTGTACACACTTGATGGAGCAGAATGGGTCTGGTTTCATTTGGGTATTTTATATTATGATGCATGATAATGATATAAATAAATAGGTAAATAAAAATTTAATTGAGAAAACCTATCTTATATTTTATTTGAGTCTGAATGATAAATAAAGGGGGAAGAGGTTTCTGTGGTCAAGGGTAACACACAGCTGATTTATTGTATGGTATGGACGAAGTTGAAAAAGCGAGACTTGGGCATGCTTCTTCTATAAGCAGCAGCTTCAACAATGTATTTGATTGTGATAAGTTCAAGTTAAAGAAAACAACTAGTGGTAGGTCAATGATATTTGGTATGCAGTTATATAAGCATTGAAACATCTTATTTCTAAGGAGATTATTTTGCTTCTCTCCCTCAGTCATATTCGACTTAAAACTTTTAATTAGTTTACCATGTATAAGTTTGTGATTAGGTCAATTGAAAGGGAACTATAAGTGGTATGTCAATGATATTTGGTATACAGATGTATAAGCATTGACAAATCTCAGTTCCGTAGAGATTGTTCAGCTCCAGCCTCAGTCATGGTTTATTGACTGAATGTTTTGCATTATTTACATGTGATTTGTGATTAGATCAGTTTAAGATGAGTGACTAATATCTGATATTTGGTATGCAGTTGTATTGGCATTTGCAAGTCTCATTTTCATAGAGATTATTTGGTCCCACTTCCTTATCATGGTTTATGGACTTTGAAACTTTCAGTTTAACAAGGAACCAATTGATAAGTCAATGTGTTGGGTATGCAGTTTTATAAGCATACTGTAAATTCTGAAATTATTGCGATGTTTTTATTATTGCGAAAAATGCGACAGGGTTATAATCGCAATAATTTAAACTCGCATTTTGAAATTTTTTATATGAATTCAACAGGATTTTTCTCAATATCGCAAAAATTTAAATCGCATTTTAGTCTAAAATGACAAAATCGCAATAATAAATGCACGCAATAATTTCTGAATTTACAGTATGCATTTCCATGGTGTTTTTATTTTGCCCTGAACCGTCAGTCATGGTTCATTGCATAGATAACAAGATTAAATATTGCAATTTAATTTCAACATTTGCATTATACCACCAAAAAACTCAAGGCATATCTCTGTGTCAACAGTTTATATTTCCATCTCTCGGTATCTTTCAACATCATGTTTTGAATTTTAAATGTCACAGAAACTTCTTTGCTAGTTTAAACAAGACTTGGCACAAATGATACTTAGGAATTACATGACAGAAATGTTCATTGGACTTGCTGATTACCTGATTGGCTGCCAAGTCTTTAAATAGATCTAGAATTCTAAAATGATCTAATTTATATAAAGGCTCATCAGATACAAAACACAGGGATACAGATCTAGCAGTGGATGCTCCTGATATAAAACTTCATAATCCAGACTGAAGAAGAATTAGTTAATCCATATCTTGTTTGTAGTTGGCTTATGGTCTGGTTTAATCTGGCATATGAACATTATCTTGATTCCATTTTTAAGGGTATGTGTACATTATTTGTTTTCAAATTAATTTGATAGTTTTTATGTGTAATAAGGACAATTAATTCTCTTATGGTTATTGCCTGTGATCTATTTCTCACATGAAGAGATATATTTTGTATCACATTGCATGGATTGGGATAAGAAAAAGGCTTACGAAAAATTTGTTAATTTGAGTGGCTTATCCTGCACCATTTGGTCATCATTTAGGTTCCATGATTTGGTCTGTTCTCGGTCAGATTCTCTAGGTCAACAATGTATGGTGTACATAATGATTGTAATGTGAATATGATTGTCTGATGAGATACATCTGACCTTGGCCTTTTTTTGAAGTGTGGTCAACATTAAGTTTTTGTAGACTGCAAAACTTTTGCCATTTTATAATGGTGTGGATATGTCATCATTGTGGTCTGTAGACATATGTTTTCCAGACAATAACTTGAGTATAAGTGTATAGATCTCAAAGAAATAAAACCACAAGGTCCCATACCACAAAAGGAAGGTATGAATTGAATTTGGGGTTATTGCCCTAACAGTTTAGGAATAAAGGTTAAAAAAAAAGATTTTCAGGGGTTTCCAGACCATAACTTGAGAATAAATCCATGGATTTCTATGAAATTATTATACAAGATTTCAAACCAAAAAGGGAAAGTTGGAATTGATTTTGGTGATTATGGCCCAAACTGTTTATGAATTAGGAACTAAACAAACACCAATACTTTGTATACATTATTTGTTTCTTGACCAATTTCAATTTCGATGAGAA